TCGAGCTCTGACTCCAGCACAAATCGGCTGCACGCCCTTGGGCAAGTCAATTAGTCTGTCTGGGATTCTTCTCTGCAGTCGGGTCCAAGGTCTTTAACAACTCCAAAAACTTGTGGGAGGATCTAAGGGGACAATTTTCCTGCCTTGTCTAGTCCCCAAAATCTGGATTTCCAAACCCCATCTCAGTTCTAAAATGGTGCCTGGGAGTCTGCATGCTAACAGCAACAACACCCACCAAAACAAACGAACAAAAACAGGCCTTTTTCTGGTGAGCAGCAAGTTTGCCAAGGGCTGCTAGGATATTCGGGAATTGGAATTCGAGGTCTTTAAAAAAAAAAAAAAAAACCTTAAATAGAGGTGTGATGTCATTGTGTTGTCCAGGTCTGTCTTGAACACCTGGCCTCAAGCAGTCTTCCCATCTCAACCTCCCAAAGTGCTGGGATTACAGGCATGAGCCACCACCCCCAACCTGAAATGTGAGGTCTTACCTCAGAGAGAAAGAGAAAGAGAGGAGAGAGAGAGAGACAGAAAGACAGAGAGAGACTGTCCTCCACTCACTCACCCAGCACCCCGCCCCCCCCCCAACGAAATGGCATCTCCCGAATCTCTCACCTCATTGTCCAGATTCAGCCTCTCAAAGTCTCCATTGAGAATAAAGCGTTGCACATAGCCGTCCAAGGTGAAATTTACATCTCGGCCAAATCGGTCCACCCGCACGTAGTGCCAGTGCTGGTCATTGAGGACGCCGCCAGCGCTCACCGTGGTATGACCTGGTCTTGGCTGGATGGGGCTGCTGCCTGAGGGTGGGGCAGGACAGAGTGAGACCTCAAGCCAGGAGAACTCCAGGGAGTCCCAGCTCCTAGGCAGAACACAAAGCCCAGGACAACCAGGGAGAGTGGGCGACTAGAGCAACAGCCATTGGCGGGTGTTTGACAGGGTAAGCCATTTAGCCTCTGCTTCCTGTCTGTAAAACTTGGAACACATGAGCTGCTTCTATCCCATCCCGGGGGTGTTGCAAAGCTAACGAGATACAATATGTGTGTGTGTGTGTGTGTGTGTGTGTGTGTGCGCGCATATGTATAGTTTTACAAGGGACCTGAGGCTGGGGAAGTGCCCCATCCAAGGTCACAGCGCTGGGTAGTGGTAGAGCTGAGACTGGAATCCAGTTCCCTTGACTCCGACTCCAGTGTTTTGCTAGCACCAAATGCAACAAGAAAGGGGCAGTTTGGAATGGAAGACCAGGCGTGAGCGCGGCTGCGCGGAGGAGTGGTGCGAGGAGCGCGGTGAGAGAGCGTCAGGGGTTGGCTCCCGCATCGCACCCAGTCGCCGAGCTCACCCAGACTCATGTGCAGCAGCAGGTGTGCCCCCTCCAGTTCCAGCGTCACGTAGTCGCCTTGGGCGCCCTCGGCGTGCAGCAGAAGCCCGTCCTTCTCCTCGGTCTTGAAGCTGAAGGCGAACACGTCCCACAGGCTTCGGCTGACCCCTCGCGGGAAGCGGTACGAGATGGCGTCGTCGCCGTCGAAATAGAGTATATCGGACTCTGCGGAAAGGACAGTGGGTGGGCCGGGGACTGGGGAGACTGACTGTCTCCCGGGCCTCCTCCGCGCTCTCTGCACGCTTACTGTATGGGCAGCCGTAGAGACCGAGCCTCAGGCCGATCTTGCCACGTGGGTTCCAGGCCAGGGGCACGATGCGGATGTAGCGCGCAGTTAAGTGGTAGTGCAGGTCGTGGCGCACCACCGCCGACTCGTTCACGTTACCAAAGAAAGTCTGCGGGGGTGGGGGAGAGGAGTAAGTAACCACCTCCCATCTTCTGCTGCTTTCTCCATAGCCTCCCAGCCCCAACTTTCATACCCAGCCAATCTCGACTTCTGGAAAGTAAAGACTCCTTGATCTCCCCTGCTGGGTGGCTTTGCCCCCAGTTTCCCTAAAGTGTCCTCTCCCACCATCCTATTATTTCCTCAAACCTGAAATCAAATGTCGCCTCCTTAGGATGCGCTGCCAGGTTTTACCCTAAAGTATGTTAAACCCTGTGAACCGTGGGTTTCGCGCACGTCCTAGGCTGACAGTCCCTCTGGAGAGAGTCACTGCTCCTCATCGGTGCCTTCACCCCCGCCCCTTCCATTTTCCCAGAGGCTGGTGCCCAGCCCGGAGCCTGGAGCAGAGGACGCTCCCCAAGTGTTCCCGCCTTGACATCCAGAGTACCGAGTTGTGGCCTCGCTGGTAGAACGGTGTCCAGCTGTCCACTCGGTCGCCGTAGAGCAGCATGTAACGTGTGACCCAGTCCCAAGAATTAAAGGAGCCCTGTGTGGCCACGGCCCGTATCCGGTGCTTCTTCATTAAGTCTATCTGGAGCCAGGGATTCGGATCCCCAATCCGTGGTGACCACCCGCTTATGCCTATAGAAGGGGCAGGAGCTTTAACCAGCTACCCCTCTCCCTGAAGCCCTCCGGAGTCCCCCACCCTGCCAAGATTCGCTGCCGGTTCGCAGCTGTTGCTCCGCGGAGCTCACCGTGCAGCCTGGCGAATCGCGGCGCAGTGAAGAGACTGTAGTAGGAGGAGGCACCCAGGGATCGTGCATACAGGGGACCCACCAGCTCCTCGTCGCAGCCGTCTAGGGTAAAGAAACTGACAAGTTAGTCAGCGCTGGCCCTTCCCAAGCCCTTCCAAAGGCCGGCCCACTGAGCAACCGAAACTCCGAATTATCTGCCCCCAACCCCCACCCCCAGATACACACTACCTTAAAGTCATCTATTCAATCCTGGCTGCAGCAACAGCTGCATGCTCAGAGGAGGATGCCTTCTCCTTCTAGGGAAACCCCTAGGCTACACCTATAGGCCCAAGGCCAGACCCTCCCTAGCTAGCCCAGTGCCTGCCCTGGTTTAGTACTTCCCCGAACTCAATCCTAAACATCAGCATCTTCCAGAACCTGAGTCAGCCCAAGACACCAATCCAGCTCCAACCCTAGCCTCAATCCCCACTCCGCCCCCAAAACATGCACCATCCCCAAATACAGGCCTTGCACCCAACCTCAGCCAGTCCTAGGACCATCAACAGCTCCATGTCCAGCCTTAGCATCAATCAGGGACACCAACTCCTGCTTGGATCCCAGCCATAAAACCCAGCCCCAGCCACAAACCCCAGCCCTAGCCACAAAACCTGGCCCTTGGCGGGCTCCAAAGTCCAGCCTCAAGCCCTGGCAAAACCTTAATTCTGCTCTCGGTCACCAGTACTACACGTATATCTCAGCCCTAGCCTCAGACCCAGGCACCAGCCCCTGCTTGGATCCCATCCCCAAATCCCTGCCCGGCTGACTTCAACCTCGCCCCGGAGCCCAGCCCCAGCCCCGGGCGCGCGCGGCAGCCTCAGAGCTGCAATGCGGAGCGCGGGGGAGAGGCAGGAAAAGATGAGAGCCAGCGGGCGCGCGCCAGCCGGCCGGGAAGGATCCGCGACCACCCAGCCGCAATGCGGTGCGGGACCGCCCTGTAGGGTCTGGACTCCTGGGCCCAACCCCACCTGCCTCCGAGCCCAACACTCACAGTAGCCCCAGCCCTCGGCTCCTGAGACCGCGGCGAGCAGAATGCAGAAGAGCCGGAGACGCATCCTGCAGGGCTGACGATCCCGGCAGCCGCCTCCCTGTGCCTGGCTCTAGCTAGGACTCGAGTTCTGGCTTGGGCTCCAAGCTCTCCTCCTGGGGTTTGCAGCAGACCGATCTCTCCTCCTCACCCACCCCACCCCTCCTCCCTCTCTCCTTTCGCCCCCAATCTGGCGCCCTCTCTCTTTCTCTCTCTGTCTCTCTCTCTCTGTCGTTCCTGGTCCTCCGCTCTTCTCTATCCTCTCCTTTCCACCCTCTCTCCTCTCACCTCCCCCCTTCCCCAGCCTCTCTCTCCTGGCACGCGCCGGTTTCCCGGACCCCGCGCAAGCGCGTGCCTCAGCCGTGCTGCGAAAGGGCGGGGGTAGAGAGCCTCTAGCCACCGGGAAAACCCCAAGTAACCCAAGGCTGGCCAGGACTAAGGCCACAAGGGTGAGGACGGGGAAGCAAAGCCCAGAAGCATCCTGACAATTTCAAGAAAAGGGAAGTGGTGGAGGGGGTAGTGCCTGAAAATGGAATGAAGGGTAAGTAAAATAATCTAACATTTTCTGAAGGCAAATTATACTCCAGGAGTGTTACCGGGCACTCTCTGGGCACTGTGAATTTAACATTTTTGCCTTACTCCACTTTGCAGATGAAAAACCTCAGACTCAGAGGGGTCAAGAAATTTAGTCAATATCACGAAGCAAATCATTATATTCCTAAACCCATTTTTTCTCCACTGGCAAAATAGAGTACATTCTTTTTTCTTTCTTTCTTTCTTTCTCTCTCTCTCTCTTTTTCCCATAATTTCCAGATCTTGCACAAGAGAGTAAAGTCTTTTGGAGGAGGTGGAATGGGAAAGTGAGCCGACAGACCCTAATCTCCACCTCCCTCTTGGCCCCTCTCCCCGCCCCTTCCTTCCTGTCCTGCTAGAAGTTTAACTTCTACCCCCTGTGGCTATACCTCAGAAACCCGTGTAGCCAGAGATGGGGACGGAGGCCACAGAGCAGGTGGGAGTGGGGGCAGGGAGGGGGAAAAGGGTTACAGAGAGGGAGGAAACAGGGAAGGGATGGGACTCCCACCTGGCAATAGGCCTTTGCCATCCTATGGCCTATTCAGAATTCTTGGCGTTATCTCAAACTAGGGGTCCTCCAGATAGATGTGGCTGGTGGTGTGAGGCTAGGGGTCGTAGGACAGGGACTGGGGCTGAAGGGAAAGATGGATTGAAGCTAGAGGTCCCGGGTCCCACCTGGGCCCTGAAAACCTGAGCCCCAACCCTGGATACCCCCTTGGCATGAGTGGTTCGGTGTGCTGGTATTGGTGGTAGAGGGAAGGTGGGTAGGGAATAGAAAGAAGACAAACAAAAACCAACCCACTCCAGGCGGAGGTTGGAGTCCAGGGCTCAGGTCTGAGGCAAAGCCTGCATATGGCCATCCTTCCAGGAGAGGGCGCTGCAAAGGTACCCGAAGTTCTAGGATTTACTAATAATACAAAGTTTGGGCTGGGCGTGGGGTCTCACACCTGTAATCGCAGCACTCCGGAAGCGGGAGGATCACCTGAGGTCAGGAGTTTGAGACCATCCTGACCAACATGGTGAAACCCCATCTCTACTAAAAATACAAAAATTAGGCAGGTGTGGTGGTGCACACCTGTAGTCCCAGCTACTCAGGAGGCTGAGGCAGGAGAATTGTTTGAAACCGGGAGGCAAAGGTTACAGTGAGCCGAAGTCACACCACTGCACTCCAACCTGGGCAACAGAGCAAGACTCTGTCTCCAAAAATAATAATAACACAAACTTTGTATTACGGTCTTTGGAGAACACAGGTTTTTCTCATCTATTATCTTCCGTATTGCCATCTTCACAGCAACCTTGAGAGGTGGGCTGGTCAGGATTTATAACAATCTCAACATTACATGTTAGGTAACTGAGGTCCAGAAAGAGGAAGTGGCTGCTCAAGGTCACCCAGAAAGCTGGAAGCAGAGGTAGGAGGGGTGCAAGGGAAACCAAGGCCTGCAGAAGGGGTGCTAGGAAGAGCCTGCAAAAGAGTTTATGTCTTCTCCCCGCATACTGTTACATCTGGCCACCCAGGAGCTCTGAAGGCATGTGTGGGAGGGGAAGCCATGGGGTGAGATATGTGTCATAAGACCCTGCCTCTCTTTTGATCCTCTCAGGTTTCCTGGGACCTCTACTCTGGGGATGAAGAGGAGGCATACTCGGCTGAGCCGCTGCCGGAGCTTTGCTATAAGGCCGATGTCCAGGCCTTCAGCCGGGTCTTCCAACCCAGTGTCTCCCTGACTGTGGCTGCGCTGGGTCTGGCCGGCAATGGCCTGGTCCTGGCCACCCATCTGGCAGCCCGACGCGCAGCGCGCTCGCCCACCTCCGCCCACCTGTTCCAGCTGGCCCTGGCAGACCTCCTGCTGGCCCTTACCCTGCCCTTCGCGGCAGCAGGGGCTCTTCAGGGCTGGAGTCTGGGAAGTGCCACCTGCCGCACCATCTCTGGCCTCTACTCGGCTTCCTTCCACGCTGGCTTCCTTTTCCTGGCCTGTATCAGCGCCGACCGCTACGTGGCCATCGCTCGAGCGCTCCCAGGCGGGCCGCGGCCCTCCACTCCCGGCCGCAAACACTTGGTCTCAGTCACCGTGTGGCTGCTGTCGCTGCTCCTGGCGCTGCCTGCGCTCCTCTTCAGCCGGGACGGGCAGAGGGAAGGCCAACGACGCTGTCGCCTCGTCTTCCCCGAGGGCCTCACACAGACGGTGAAGGGGGCGAGCGCCGTGGCGCAGGTGGTCTTGGGCTTCGCGCTGCCGCTGGGCGTCATGGTGGCCTGCTACACGCTCCTGGGCCGCACGCTGCTGGCCGCCAGGGGGCCAGAGCGCCGGCGTGCGCTGCGCGTCGTGGTGGCCCTGGTGGCGGCCTTCGTGGTGCTGCAGCTGCCCTACAGCCTCGCCCTGCTGCTGGATACGGCCGATCTACTGGCTGCGCGCGAGCAGAGCTGCCCTGCCAGCAAGCGCAAGGATCTGGCACTGCTGGTGACCAGCGGCTTGGCCCTCGCCCGCTGCGGCCTCAATCCCGTGCTCTACGCCTTCCTGGGTCTGCGCTTCCGCCAGGACCTGCGGAGGCTGCTACGGGGTGGGGGCTGCAGCTCAGGGCCTCATCCCCGCCGCGGCTGCCCCCGCAGGCCCCGCCTTTCTTCCTGCTCAGCTCCCACAGAGACCCACAGTCTCTCCTGGGACAACTAGGGCTGCGAATCCAGAGGAGGGGGCAGGCTGAGGGTCGTGGGAAAGGGGAGTAGGTGAGGGAACGCTGAGAAAGAGACGGGGACCTAAAGGGACTACCTCTGTGCCTTGTCACATTAAATTGATAATATGGAAATGAGACGCAACCCAAAACTGTTACTATTTTTGAGTCACCGACTTGGAAGTGATTTGTCGCAGGGCAGAGCCGGTGGGTTAACACCCCGCCCCAACCCCCAGCCCCCGCTCTATCCCCCACCTCCACCCACCACCACCCCCTGCCCTATCCCCTACCCCCACCCCGCGGGCTTGGCTCTCCGAGTGGAAGGCGCTGAGGGCCTGGGTGGGAGTAGGGGGCTGCTGAGTCTGATAAAGCTCTAGCCACTGACACCCCCTCCACCGTCACCCGGCCTCAGTCAACAGAGGTGAGGTGGGAAAGCTGCCAGGCAAGGAGGGGCGGGGGTTCCTCTTGCGATACTGTAAGGAAGAGCTTTCTAACAACCAGAGCGCTCTTCAGTAATGGCTGCCTTAGCAAATACAGAGTTCCCGCTGCTGGAATGTTCAACCTGTCGGGGACGCCCTGTGCCTTTGCGTGGTGTGGGGGTGAGGGTAGGGACAGGAGATTCCCGTTTGGGTTGGGGTTTGGATTACATTATCACTTTACAATCCCTTCCTACTGTCTGTGATGGAAAGAAAAAATGAATTTTAGAAGTTGAGTTGAAGTTTTCACCTTGGAGAAAAACCTGTGTGTGTGGAGGGGGGATTGCAAGCTGCAAATTTCCAGAGTAGTTGTCATGGGTGTGGTGGGGGTAAGGGATGCTTGCTGTTCTCCATCTTCTCTGGGGACTGGGTCAGAGGAAATGCACTGAGCTGGCCGGAAAGAGAGAGGTTGGATATGGGAAAAAAAACTTCTCTGCAGGCAAGGACTTGGGATCCAGACCGGGAAGATGGTTGTGGTATCTCCATTCCTAGGAAATCTCTCCGTACAGGCCACTCTCATCTGGAGAGAGGGCACGGCCGAGATGGCCTCCAGACACGCTCGCATTGATTCCTGGCCTTTGTTTTACACAATCACAATGGGCAGGATGGTGTTCACGTGCGACAATTCTCGCGTTTTAATATTGGTCAGCAAAGCTGTCCCAACCGCTCCAGCCTGGAGTCTAGGGGCAAGATGGGCGGGGCGTGGCGAGGCGGTCTCAAGGGAGGCGCTGGCCTGATGGCCCCGCCCTCCCCGCCCTCCGCGCCCTGCCCTGCCCCGCCCCACCCAGCCCAGCCCCGCCCAGTCCAGCCCAGCCCAGCACTGGCTAGCCGTCTTTCTCACAGCCCCGGGCGGCAGCAGCGAGAAGCCACGGCCTCTAGGGTCCAGGATCCAGGGAAGGCCAGGAGACGGCGCCGATCCTCAATGGGTGCCGCACGTCAACCACTGGGGACTGACCTAGAACCCTGCAACAGAGACCTCGGGAATCGCCGCTGAGTCAGCAACGCGCGCGCGCGCGCGCGCCCGCGGAGGCCGCGGCCCCGCCCCGGCCGTCTGGCGCCGGGGTTAACCCCTTCCTACACAGAACCCCAGGATATTCGCCCTAAGAGGCCTCCACTCTATTCCGAGACCACAGAATTCTTAGAATCCCAAGCCACTCTACCGAGCTGAGTTCGGTGCTTTTATTTCCGGCTTAGGTCTGCGCCTTCCCAGAGTCCCTGCCTCAACTCCTTCACCTCAAAAAGGAGGTGAGGCGGCGTGCGGTGGCACACACCTGTAATCCCAGCACTTTGGGAATCCAAGGTGGGAGGATAGCTTGAGCCCAGGAGTTCGAGACCAGCCTGGGCAACTTAGTGAGACACTATTTCTACAAAAAAATAAATTTAAAAAATTAGCCAGCCATGGTGGTGTGTGCCTGTAGTCCCTAGCTCCCGGAGAGGCTGAGGTGGGAGGATCCCTTGAGCCAAGAAGTTCGAGGCTGTAGTGAGTCATGATGGCTCCACCGCACCCCAACCTGGGCGAGAAGAATAAAAAAAAGGGGGGGTGGTGAGGGAGAGCTGAATCACACAGAGAAACTGGACTCCTTCACTCCAGACCTGTCGGGCCACGTCTAGAGCTGTGTGCTCGAAGGTCTGGACATCCTTTCAGTAGCCAAGGCTTTTCCCTTTCTCAGGGATCCTGAGACGAGAGAGGTGTTCAGAGAGCGGCAGTTGGGTTTTCCTCTGCCCGGTGCCAAAGCTCTTTAACAGGGTTTTTAATTTGTTGGTTGGTGAGCCAAGAGTTAAAACAAGAGCCTGAAGGCGGGCTTCCGTGATGTCACTAGCACCCCGTGTCCGACCTCAGAGACTGGGGCGTGGCTAACATCGCCTCGTCCCCTCCCTCCCTATTTCCCCGCCCCTCCCCGCTGTCACGGAGCCAGGGGCACATGATGCAACCCGCCGCGGTTTCAGCCTTCTGATTGGTAGCCGCGCCCGGCGCCAGGCACAGGGATTGGACATAGGAGGCTGTGACGAAACCAGGACCCTGCCTAGTAAAGAAGGGAGGAGAGAAAGAAGACAGAAGGGGGGGTTCCCGGGAGGGAGGGGGCCGGGGGGGCGGGGTCCCAGCTCTGTGCTCGCGCCCCCAGCACGCCAGTCCCGGGGCTGCAGGGAGCGCAGCGCGCGCGGCCCGGGCCCCGGCCACCGGACGCCCTACCGGACACGACCCTCCCTGGAGCTTGGACAACTGCCCACCTCGGACGCTGCACCGGACACTGCCCCCCACAGGGCTGGACGCTCCAACGGACACTACTTCCCAGCTCCGGACATTGCTCCCTCCTCTCCCCGGGCCCTGGACGCTTTTCCCCCTCCCCCCTCCGGGGGCCCAGACACCGAACCCCCCTCAGCGTCTGGCTAGCGTCCCCTTGCACCCCAGCCCAGGACACTGCCTCCTCCCTGTCCCTTTCTCCCTCCTGCTCCTCCCACCTCATCTTTCCCTTGCTCGGGTCGGAGCCCCGCCAGTTCCTCCGACCCCCTGCTGCTCGGCCGCGGCTGCCCGCGCCCCCATCCCCCGGCTCCTCGTCCGGATGCCTCTTCCCGGGGGACTGTGGTGGCTTCTCTGCTGCCGTCGAGGCTTCACTCTTCTACACCGGGACTACGGGGACGGCGAGCTTAGCGGGGACGGGGACGAGGACGAGGACGAGGAAACCTTTGAGCTACGGACCCCGAGTCCGGCGGGCGGCGGGAGGGTAAGTCCCGGGTTCGGAGCCGCGTTTCAATCACGCTCGCTGTAACCGGCCGTCACTCTGATCCGCTCCAGCCTCCAGCCACACGCTGCGCGCCTGGCGAACTAGGGACTTGGGGGAGGTTTTTGCCTGGGGGCCCAAGCCCCCGGGAGCTCTTGGAGCAGCAGCTCTACTCAGGATGTGCCTTTGGGCCTCCCGCCGCAGGCTGGGCGCTGTCCACCTGCTGGGGGCCCTGAGGCAGGGGAGGCGTCACGCGTGGCCCGACCTGGCCCTGCCTCTCCCTTTCCCGCTGGGCCCGCGTCCCATCCCGTCTCCTTCCGCCTCCGCCAGCGCCGAGGAATGTGGCGAGGCCGGCTGGGCAGCTGGAACGCCTGGGTCCCCCTCAGCTCCCAGTTCTCGAGCTCTGAAGCCAGATGCGAGAGCTCCAGCTGCGGAGACCTGGGCGAAGGGGAGAAGTCATCCCGGGATTGGGATCCGTGGCGGGGACCCCACGGCGAGGGAGTTGGGGGCTCTTTGAGGACCCCTCCTCATTACCCTGCCACTCAAGGCAAAACTCTCGGCTTTCCCCGGTGAGGCTCCTGGGAACCCCCTGAGGGATGGATGGTGAGGGACACTTGGTTGCTGCCTGGTTTTGTCGAATCTCCCCATGGGGAAACGGAGGCACAATTGGTGTGGAGACCTCCATCCCCTGACGTCTCCTCTCCCATCCCCCCTGCACACTGGCGGCCAGACTCCCATGTGCTCTGGCCAGAGTCAGGCCCCCATCCTTCGCGCAGGGGTCCCTAGCAGGCCCAGTGGCTTGGTGCCCGGGTGGGGCCGGCTGCCCGCCGGGGCCGGCGCCAGCACCTGGCGGAGGCGGAGGGTGGATAAATATAGAGGAGGGGAGGGAGGAAAGCAGGGCACTGGGATTAGGGGAGTTAGTCTAAGAGGGTGGTCAGTACCTGCCACATGTGGTGTGGCTGACAGCCCCACTCAGACCCTCCAGAAAATAGGTGGAGGTTCATGTAGGAAAGGCACAGGACCCAGGCGTCCCCAAGCTTCCAGCCTGGGCAGGGTCGGCTTTATCAGGCCATTGCCTCTCTCACGCTCCATCTCCACTCCCCCCTTCCCGGAGCCTGGGGACAGGTGTCCCCTGGCCCCCTCCCCCACCTCCTCCTCCTGGCTCTAGCAGTCTGGGCGCAATATGAGGATGGCACGGTTCCTGCCTGGCTGGCCTCCAGGTTGGGTTTGTGGCCTTTCTCAGACCCCAGTCTACAGTTGACGTTCCAGGACAGGGGGAAGGGAGAAGGAGGAGGAGGGGGAGGACAAAACCCTGATCTACACTTGCCTCAGGAGGGTGTGCCATTCCTCAGCCTGGCCGGCCCTTCCTAAGCCTCAGCAAAGGAACAGGGTCTCTGCTCACTGTTGAGTCTCAGGAGTGTCTCTGGGAGAATGCAAGACGCTTTTGGAGAAAGCCCTATCCTGAAAGGGCTCCTCTGCCCTTCGTTCACCGCTGTGCCTACCACCTGTCCTGCCCTGGACAGGGAGGCAGTGTGGGAGACAGGAAAATGAGGAGGAGAGGGTACCTTGGAGCCTGGCAGAGTGAGCTCTCCTCTCCTGTTTCAAAGTTAGGGAAACTAAGGCCCCGAGACGGGAAGAGACTTGCCCAAGGTTCCACAGTGAGTTCGTGGTCGGGCGGGAATTAGAACCCAGATCTCCTGACTCTCTGCCCAGTGCTCTTTCCACCCTACCCTACCCTTAATTGTATCTTCAAAGGGTAATGGAGGGAGTCTTGGCTCCTTAGCTCCTGCTGTTCTGGAGAGCTTGTCGTGTTGAGACCGCGGAGGGGCAAGCCCAGAGGCTCCAGAATGCTCCACCCCAGTCACGACCCCACTCTGTGACTCTTTCTTCAATCCCCTGAGCAGCCCTGTCCTGAGGGCAGAAGGCCCAAACCTTGCGCAGGAAGGGCTCTGATCCTGAGGGCTATCCCGCCTGTCTCCCCAGGGTCCCCTGGAAGTGACACTGACTCAGCCGGTGAGGAGCGGGCCAGTCTCCCACAGGTGAGCTATGCCCCTACGTCCCATAGTCTCGAGACCCCAGCCTGTTCCCTGGACCTCCATCCTCGCTGTCTTAGCTCCCAGTTGTGCAATAAGGGAGCGGCCCTACGCCGGACGCTGTGGTTTGGCTGGGGTCCCGGGGGGCGGTCCGGCTGGGGGCACGGGGAGAAAGGCGGGGGTCGGGGCTATTTCTGGTGCAAGGTCAGAATGGCCCAATGGTTCCCACAGCCTGGGGGAGGGTGTCCAGCTTTGGAGCAGACACCACTGCGGTCTGGGGAGCCCCTACTGAGGAGCCCCCTAGAGGCGGAGTGGAAGCCCAACCCTCCCTCCCCTCTGGCCCAGGCTGCAGAGCTGGGAGGAAACTTGGAGCCTCATCCCGGAGAAAGGGCTGCCGGAGGACGACCCAGACATCGTTGTGAAAGGTAGAGACCCCCTCAGTGCACTCTGGAGGCCTCCAGTCCCAACCCTCCAAGGGTTAATGTCTCCTACCGATGTCCCTTCCCTCCCTCTCCTGCCCCCAGGTTGGCTGTACCGGGAGCCCCGTGGAGGAGGGGCGCGGCCCTGGCTACCCCCACGCCGAGCCTGGTTCGTGCTCACGCGGGACTCCCTGGATCAGTTCAGCAGCAGCGGGAAGGGGGCGCGGCGCCTCGGGAGTCTTGTACTCACCAGCCTGTGCTCGGTGACAGGTCCAGAGCGCAGGCGTAAGGAGACAGGTGAGACCTCGTGGGGACACTCTCCTACCTTCCGAGGCAGGGGCCCCCGCAGATCCTAATTGCCCTCCCCGGCCTGGCCTCTCTTTTCCCCAGGTCTGTGGTCAGTGACTGTGTCTGGCCGGAAGCACAGTGTCCGCCTCTGCTCCCCACGCCAGGCAGAGGCCGAGCGCTGGGGGGTGGCATTGCGGGAAGTGATTGCCTCCAAGGCACCCCTGGAGACCCCCACCCAGCTACTGCTCAGGGACATACAGGTAAGAGAGAACACCAGGGAGAGCCAGGAGAGTGATGGACCCCAAAGCTTTCTGGGCTCATGGGGAACTCCTTTCCCATCAAGATGACCCTCTCCCTGGCCCCTAGGAAAGTTGTGGGGACCCAGAGGCCGTTGCCCTTATTTACCTGCGGAACCCAATTCTGAGACACACCAGTGGAGCCTTGTATGCCCCGCTCCTGCCCCTGCCCTATGGAGTCAGCGCCCCAGGTGAGTGGTCCCATGGTCCAAGTCTCCCTGGATGGAATGGGGTGGATCAGAGGGTAAGAATTCGAATGCCTTAACTGGCAGGGACCTAAGCATCCTCCAGGGGCCTGCCAGCTCCTTGCTTTTCAAAGAATGAAGGTGAAACTGGAAGCTGGCCAGGGGGAGGGGAGGAAGCCAGCACCCACAAAAGGGTCCCCTTTGACCACCTTCTCTATGAGTCTTGTTCTGACTACTGATGTTGCTTCAGGAGTTTGTACACACGCTCTTCTATTTTCCATTATACTCTTGAGACCATGTCATATTACCTTTATGAACGGTAGAAAAGCTACCACTTTGGTCGAATGTGCCGGCCTCATCCAACTGTACTTCTCCCTAAGTGGTGTAGTGACTGGCCCAGATCCTAAAGTTAGAGGATTAAAGGGTGCTGGGAGAGGAATCTCGGTTTTCTGACCTAGTCCAGCCTGTTTTCTGACCTATGGTGATGAGCCTCAGTATCTAGTTACAGAATCTGGGGTGTGAACCAGTAGCCCCTTGCTCATCCCTTTCCCTGAATCCAAATCCAGGCTTAGTCGGATTGGAAAGGGGATTCTGGGAGGCAGGGACTACTGCTTTCCCTTCACTCTTCCTGTCGTTCGTACCCTCCCCCACCTACCACCCCATCCCCTTATATTCCCTCTGACCTTCCCCTGGTTCTTGCCTTCCTCCCAGGGTGCAGCTCTGTGTTCCCTCTCCAAACCGTCCCTCCGCCCTCACCCTCCCACAGGTCCGGGCTATGCACCCCTGCGCGAGGAGGCGGTGCGGCTGTTCCTGGCGCTGCAGGCACTGGAGGGGGCGCGGCGCCCCGGGCCCTTAATGCAGGGTGTGCTCCAAACTTGCCGAGACTTGCCCGCGCTCCGGGATGAACTCTTCCTGCAGCTGGCTAAGCAGACCTCGGGCCCTGCAGGCCCCCCCGGGCTCCCGGCTACCCGAGACCCTGCGGCCCTGCGGTACTGGCAACTCCTCACCTGCATGAGCTGCACCTTCCGGCCTGGGGTGGCTGTACGGGGACACCTCCTGGGGCACTTGGAGAGGTGAGAGGGGCGGGGCGGGGGTTACGGATTAGTGGAGGAGCCACTGGGCTGGGAGAGAATGAGAAGTCTTTTGCAAAAGGTTTAGTAGATAAAGAACCTAGACCCTGAAAAGGGAAAGGACTTGCCCAAGGTCAGGGCTGCTGGTAATACATACAGTGCCTTTGTGGGAGATACAGGATCCCGTCTCACTTGTGAGCAGATGAATTACAATAAAACGTCCCCCTTGGGCTGAGGAATTACGAAAAGGCTGCTTTTCCTCGAGCTGATGCAGGCTAGCGCCAGGGGTTAGGAAAGTGTAGCAAAGTGGCTGGATTTCGATTTCAGCCCGAAGGAAGTTCATGGAGACTTTGGAAGTGGTGAGTGCGGTTGGGAGAAAGCTGCAGGGGACTGGAAAGTAATTCAGCTCTATGCAAAGCACTGGGGACAGTGTTAGGAGAGCCTTCGAAGAACCTGAGTTGGGGCAGGGAGGAAATCGGCCAGATAAACTATCATAGAAGAAGGCAAGAGGAAGGGGAAAAAGGAAAGTCCTTGGAGCATTGATCCCTGGGTTCCTCCTAACCCAGGACCGAGCAGGCACTCCCGGACTCGGAACTGGCGGAATATGCGCGCTTCATCCGGAAAGCGCTGGGCCGGACTCGTGGCCGCGAGCTGGTGCCTTCGTTGGCGGAGATTTCCGCGCTGAGCCGACGGCAGGAGCTGCTGTGCACCGTGCACTGTCCGGGGGCTGGTGCCTGTGCTGTGGCCATCGACTCCCACACCACAGCGGGCGAGGTGAGGCCAGAGAAAGGCCCCATGACCTCCAACCTACCTTGCCAGCTTCTCACGCCTGCCTCTCCCGCTTCCTGGGCCCTAGGTTTGCCCCGAGGGTCAGATTATTTTGGTAAGGGATGGAGTGGTGGTGACAGGACTAAGAGACCCTTTCCAATTGAATCAGCCCCTCCCATAATCCTGGCAATATCCCTGAGTGGTCTTACTTCCCCCTCACCCTCCTCTTCTAGGTGGCTCGAGAGCTGGTGGGGCGGCTGGGCTTGGCTCGGAGTCGCAATGCATTCGCGCTGTACGAGCAGCGAGGGGCCCAGGAGCGAGCCCTGGCTGGGGGGACCCTCGTGGCCGACGTGCTCACCAGGTTTGAGAAGTAAATGTCCAGCCCCAGCCCTGCTCTCTATTAGCCCATTCACTTCTCAGCTTCGGTCAGTCTCTAAGCGGACGTTAGCCAGTGCTTGCCCCTGGCCCTGCGCTGTGGCGTTCGCTGGTTTACAGATGGACCTGCCCGCCGCAGGTTTGCAGTCCGACTCTAGCATCACCTCCGCGATCAGCTTCGCCCAGGCCCCGCCCCAAACATATGGCCCCGCCCCCACCCCCAGCCGCGGCGCAATGGGGGCCCTGCTTGTCCAAAGCAGCGTGTCCGCTCCTCTTCTGCAGCTTGGCAGCGGAGGAAGCTGGGCTGGAGGACTCCTCCGATTCCGTGTGGAGACTGTGTCTGCGTCTTCACGGACCTCTGCACCCTGAGGGGCTGTCCCCAGACGGTCACGAACTGCCTTTTCTCTTTGAGCAGGTGAGGCTCCCCGGCGTTCATGCCTCCAAATAGACCCCCAAGCCTGAGCCCCCGGTTTTCTGGGCCATCTCATTTCATCACTATGGCAGCCCCGCGGGAGGCTCGACTGGAATCTAGACCTCCTCAGATTTTGACAAGTTGTATTCGCTACGGTCCCGCCACCGCTCGTGCACTGATGCAGGGTGCCTCCCCTGCAGGCTCACGCTCTGCTGCTGCGGGGCCGGCCGCCCCCGCCAGACGACACGCTGCGCGCCCTGGCGGCGCTACGCCTGCAGAGCCTGCACAGGGACTTCTCCCCGCGGGTACCCCTGCCCCGCCTGGATCGCCTGCTACCGCCCACGGCCCCGCGTGAAGACCCGCCCCGCCCGGCCCCCAGGTCACCCCCCTCCGCTGCCGCCCTGCTGGCCGGGGCGCTCTGGAGCCCGGGCCTGGCCAAGAGGCGGGCAGAGCGGGCCCGCCGCGGCGGGGCCGGCCGCATGGCGGGAACCACGGCCCGCGAAGGAGGTGGCAGCGCCAGCACTGCAGCTGCGGTGCTGGGCAGCTGGAAGCGGCTACGGGGCATGGGCCGAGCTGAGGCCATGGCCGCCTACCTGACCCTGGCGGCGCAGTGTCCGGGGTTCGGCGCTGCTCGGTATGACGTTCTGGAGCTGAGCACGGTGAGGGGGAGAAGGGAGAAGGGGACTCTGGTGGCCCAAGCCCCACACCTTTGCCCCAGAGCCACAGATCCCCACGGAGGGTCACTTCATTCCCCACATCCAGAACAGCTGCCCATCTCAAACCCCAGGAATCACCAGCCCTTGGGCCCTCATATCCCTGGAGCCTTAGCCCCTCCACAAACGTGCTGTGAATCACGGGGGATCAGGAAACTCCTGCTCACAGCCACCCATCTCCCCCTCCTCAAAATAACGCTGGTCTCCTCCTTCCACCCTGACTCTGCCCCTGTCTGCAGGAGCCTGGTGGGGGTGCTCCACAAAAGCTATGCCTGGGCTTGGGAGCCAAGGCCATGTCCCTCTCCCGGCCGGGGGAGACAGAGCCCATCCACAGTGTCAGCTATGGCCATGTGGCCGCCTGCCAGCTAATGGGCCCCCACACCCTGGCACTGAGGGTGGGGGAGAGTCAGCTCCTCCTGCAGAGCCCCCAGGTGAGTGGGAAGAGGGGTTGTGGGAGGAGGAGAGAAGGAAGGGATGTCAGAAAACATTTACTGAACACCAAGCCTGGGCCAGGTAGATTCTAAGCACTGGGATCCAGCAGCGATCACAGACAAGCTCAAGAAGCTTACACTAGAGTTGGGGAGTCAGACAATAAACAAGGAATCCCAGGCTATTAAGACAGTGAGAAATGCTACAAAGGAAAGAGTGATGTGACAGGAAGTCAGGGAAGGGTTCTCAAAGAGGGTGCCATTTAAGCTAGCCAAGGAAGACCTGGGGAACAGCATTCTAGGAAGAAAGAATTGCAACGCAAAGGCCCTGAGATGACAGTAAACTTGGCTTGTTAGAGGCGCAGAAAGAAGCAAGTATGATTGGCACATAGAAATGAGGGAGAGAGTGGAGATAAGGAAGGAAAGGTTGCAGGGGCATAGAGGATGAGAAAAAGTAGAGAACCCGGCAGCTCCTGTTGCACACTGACCTCTGCCCTCTCTTAGGTAGAAGAGATCATGCAGCTGGTGAATGCCTATTTGGCCAACCCCTCCCCCGAGAGGCCCTGCAGCAGCTCTTCTCCTCCATGCCAAGACCTGCCAGACACCTCCCCTCCCAGCCAGCACCCGGGCCTGGACGAGCCCCAGGGACAGTCTGGCTGCTTGGGGCAGCTGCAGGACTGAGCCTGCCAAGAGGTCACGACATCTCGCCTGCCTCCAGCCTGGGCCAGGACTGCTCTGAGATTTGAGGGAAACGTGGACCCTTTTGGCCCTGCAGGGACAGGGCACATCCCACATCCAAGGGCTACAATGGGTGTGGGCAATTTTCTAGTTTGTTTCTTAATTTATTTGTAGAAGAGAAGCAAAAAAAAAAAAAGTTTCTTATTTACACAAACCCTTCCTGTGGGAGTGTTATTCAGTGGGACAAGTTGGAACCCCAGAATGCAGAGCCCTGCCTCCTGGGACACCCACACTCTGGGCTTTTACCAGGCTCTGGGGAAAGTCTGGACACCACAGTGCTTCACCCTCCCCCTCCTTGACCTTCGAGACTTAACCTCCTCCTGGCCAGTATGCTACCACAGGCTTGTGGGTGGAGCAGGCAAACAGGCCTCATTGGAAGCTGGCAGTTACTCACCCTCCCTTCTCCATTGAGTGGCATATGGATGGCCTCCTGGCATCCCTGAGGCTGGAGGGCAGTGAGTCATCACATCTGGTACTGCCCAGTTCTTACTCTGGTGTCCAGCTCTGGGCCCATCATTGGTGTGCCTAATGCCTTGGGCCTAGAATGGAGAGAAGCTTGGGGCAGATAACAAACCCATGAATTTCTCTGGCACAGAAAAGTAACTCAGGATGTGCTCAGCCCCTCTTGAATTCTGCTTCTACTTACCAGGTTGGGTTGAACTAGAGTGAGTTCCTGGGACTCTCATGGCTCTGGGCACTAGGATTCCAGAGTCCCGGTTTTCCTGGCCTGCTCAGAATGCAGTGTGCCCTCCTTCAGTAGACTCCACTTCCTCTGCCCTGAGTGGAAGAGGCTGGGGCAACACTGACCTTCACTGGGGCAAGAGCTTAGGCACTGAGGAGACAGCAGACCTCAGTAAAGCTCTGTAATCTTGAGACAAGGGCTGCCTCTAGTAAAACAGCCCAGTTCAAGGTGAGGGATGCCAGTGGAAACAGTGAACACACTAAAATCTGGACTAAGGGGTAAGACGTTCGAGGAGGTGAAAGCCACCCTATGTCAGATGCCTAGAAACTGGACCCCTTCACCACCCCCCGTATTCATAGATCAAGCCCTGGCTATACTGACAACCAAGCTTTATTACTTTAGTAGTGCTTAAGAAGCATATCAAGAGTCAGGGCATGGAGGGAAGAAGCAGGACCAGCTCATGGGCTGGAGATGAGCAAGAAGGGTTGTCCATGAGGTGAAGTTGGGTCAGAGGGTGCAGGCATGGTTGAGGCTGTGCTTCCCGTCCAGGAGTAGTGGGGAGGGAAATCACTGCTCCTGGGTGCCCCAGGAGATGTAGTCTGGCTGTGTGGCGGCATGGTACTCATCAATGAGCTCCTGAACAACCTCCCTAGACCTGTCCATCTCGTCAAAGTTGTCCTTGAACATGTCCTCTTTACGGAACTGCTCGAGGAAGGCATCCCGTTTCCGCAGCTTGTCAAACTGCTGGCAGGAACTTTCAAAGAGCTGAAAGAGACGAAAATCTCCAAAATGCGAGCCGGGGGTTAGGAACAAACTTGGGGAAGATGATGAAGGTAGCCAGTGGAACAGACTGTCCTAAGAACAGAAACCCAGACTCACCGAGGAGATGCTGGTGTGGTTGGCCATCATGAGCCCACTGACCCGGTGGGCCGAGGGCAAGTAGGGAGACTTCCTTGACAAGGCCACCTGGATGCTGGCGGGGCCCCATGGGATGAAGTTGGCCAACTTCCGTTCCCGGATCCTCTGCAGGCTCTTGTGGACCTGGGGAGGGCACAGGAGCAGTGGAGGTGGCGTCTCCTCTATCCCTGTGGGTCCAGGGTGCGGGATGAAGGGGCCTCCCCTACCTGGGTGGGGTCCACCTCTCCCTGGATGATGTTGAGGATGGCGATGTAGCAGTGGTTGGTCTGGCGGTCTCGGCCTGTGGACACCATCACATTCTTGGGCTGCAGGAGCCGCCTCATGACATCCAGGACTGTGGTCTTCCTCACGCTAGCCACCTGATGGACAGTGAAGCAAGGACCTGGCCAGGGCTCAGGACACAGTCCGCCTTTGGCTTCTCTTTGGCAGAAGCCAAAGGCAGAGGGAGGGTGAAGAGCAAGTTACAAGAAAGTGGCCTGCTCTGTGCTAGTCCCTGAGCGCAGTGCCTCGGGGCATGCAAAGGGAAGCTCCTGGGGCAGAGGGGAGGAGAGAAAGGCTAGGGCAGGGCCTGCTGGGCCCAGGGCTGGCCTGGCCTGGGACACTGAGGCTGCTCTTACTGACTGGTCCGTAGTGAGTGGGGTATAGCCGGTCATGAGGAAGTGGAGCCGCGGAGTGGGGATGAGTGAGGCGATGAGGCCGATGAGGTCATTGTTCATGTAGCCGGGGTAGCGCAGGGTGGTGGTGCTGGCCGACATGATGGTGGACACCTGGGGACAGGGGTGCCATGTCATGGGCCTCGGCCTGAGTGGGACCTCCCTTCCCCAGATGACCCTCCAGCAAGAAGGACTTCCTGTCCAAAGGAGTCCAGCAGTGGGGGCCCACCAGCTGGTTGATCTGGGAGAAGGACGGGTTCTGGATGTGCAGGCGGTCTGTGGCAATCCGGTTCAGGGCTGTGTTGTCCAGCACCACCTGCGGGCACAGCAGAGGGTCACAGCCTCAGCAGAGGGTCACAGCCTCTTCAGGAGAAAATGGGCATAGAAATAAGGTATTGGCTTAACCCCTGCTGAACTCCAAAGCCAGGAAGAGGTTTGTTAGTTTAAAACAAAAACTGCTGGGCATGGTGGCTCACGCCTATAATCTCAGCCCTTTGGGAGGCCAAGGTGGGAGGATCACTGTAGGCCAGGAGTTGGACACCAACCTAAGCAACACAGCAAGATGCCATCTCCTTAAAAAATATAAATAAAAAATAAAAAGAAACAAAAGTGCTGTCTCTGGGGCATCATGAGATACTCTCGGACCATGCAGGGCAGTAAACAAACACGTGAGAACCCACATGTGCCATACACTCATTGTGCCTGGCTCTGGGGAGGCCAGAGAGAGGAACAGGCACCATCTTTCCCTTCATTAGGCCTACACTCTAGTATGGAGGGAAGTGCACTAAATATAAAACAGAAAAGTATAGTTAACTCCCAGAAATACACACAAAGGAATCTGATCTTGACTGAGCAGTCAGGAAAGGTTTTGCTAAGAAAGTTATCCTTGAGCTGGGAGTTCAAGCATGAGGGGGCATTAAGTAGGCAAAGGTGTGGTACGTGGTGGTAGGGGGAGGTATATTCACTTTGTTGAGTCTTGCTGCCTAAGAGGATTCTAAGAAACTTAGAGATCAGGACCTTATTTCCTAATTTGGCCCACAGGTATGGCTTTGCTGGGCCTCTGTTCTGTGTGGAGAGGGCTGGGGGAGGGCAGGGTGAATGAGACTCACTGGCCTGGGGAGACAGACCAAAGTCCCTACTCTTTTTTTTTTCCTTTTTCTTGAGACAGAGTTTTGTTCTTGTTGCCCAGGCTGGAGTGCAATGGCTTGATCTCGGCTCACTGCAACCTACGCTTCATGGGTTCAAGCGATTGTTCTGCCTCAGCCTCCCGAGTAGCTGGGCTTACAAGCATGTGCCACCACACCTAGCTAATTTTGTATTTTTAGTAGAGACGGGGTTTCTCCATGTTGGTCATGTTGGTCTCCATGTTGGTCAGGCTGGTCTCGACCTCAGTTGATCTGTCCACCTTAGCCTCTCAAAGTGCTAGGATTATAGGTGTGAGCCACTGCGCCAGGCTCTTTTTTTTTTTTTTTTTTTTTAATACAAGGTCTTGTTCTGTTGCCCAGACTGGAGTGCAGTGGTGTGATCACAACTCACTGCAGCCTCGACTTCCTGGACTCAAGCGATCCCCCCAGCTCAGCCTCCTGAGTAGCTAGGACTATAGGCACACACCACCATGCCCAGCTTTTTGTTTTGTTTAGTTTTGAGATGGAGTTTTGCTCTTGTTGCCCAGGCTGGAGTGCCATGGCGCAATCTCAGCTCACAAAACCTCCAGCTTCCAGGTTCAAGCACTTCTCCTGCTTCAGCCTCCCGAGTAGCTGGGATTACCGCCATGCACCACCATGTCTGGCTTATTATGTATTTTTAGTTGAGATGGGATTTCTCCATGTTGGTCAGGCTGGTCTCAAGCTCCCAACTTCAGGTGATCCGCCCACCTTGACCTCCCAAAGTGCTGGGATTACAGGCATGAGCCACCACACCCAGCCCTAATATTTGTATTTTCTGTGGAGATAGGGTTTCACAAGTTGCCCAGGCTAGTATCGAACTCCTGAGCTCAAGAGATCCACCCACCTCAGCTTCCCAAAGTGCTAGACTTAACAGGCATCAGCCACCGCACCCACCCCCTCAACTCTTAATTTGCTCACCACACAGTCTGCATTCTGTGTCAGCCTCTTGAGTGTGAGGAGTGAATTGTAGGGCTGGACCACCACATCGCTCATCTCATCCTGGTAGGGAAACACTGAATAAGTCTGCACCAGCTTTTTGGGGTACCTGAGAGAAAAGAGGGTGGTAGCATAGTGAACTACAAGGAACCCCATCACTGCCCATCTGTACCATTTTGTACAAAAAGGGTGAGGGCAGACTGTGTCTTCAGAGCCAAAAAGGAGAAGCCTGAAAGCATCAAACTCTGTAGATCCCCTCCCCTCCCTAGGTAAATCCCCCCACCCCAATATAGCTTCCAGCATGGTCCTTGGGTGAGTCTGTCCCTATGACTCAAAAGGGTAATGGCAGACTTTCTAACTCAAGAGAAAAAAAGCAATATTACCCAGGGAACCAGGGTTAATGCCCTCTCCCCAAACACAGGCTTGCCTGTCATTCAGTCGCTCCAGGAGGTAGGAGCCCAGGCCAGAACCCGTACCCCCAGCGATGGAGTGACACAGCACGAAGCCCTGTGTGTATACAGGAATAAACAGACTCAGTTTCTCCTGCCACACTCTCACAACACGCTTCTGATACCAGATGGGTGGGGGTTTTACCACACACATCAAGTAAGCAGTCAATTCTACAGCAGATGCCAGCTGGGTATCCACTAATTCACTTCAATTCTAGACTACCTACAGCCTGTCCCTGACTTAGGATGGTTCAATTTAAGATGTTTTGGCTTTATGATGGGTTTATCAGGATATAATCCCATCTTAAATCAAGAAGCATCTGGGGCCGGGCGCGGTGGCTCAAGCCTGTAATCCCAGCACTTTGGGAGGCCGAGGCGGGTGGATCACGAGGTCAAGAGATCGAGACCATCC